GCATAATTTTTATTTTTTGTGTCGATCTTTTTTAGTGGACTGGACGTTTGGGAGAAAGAGTTTTTTTTTTTGATTTTGGATCAGCCTATCTCGAGATATTTGCGATCGTATTTCGAAATCCGGACTTCTTTATTTAAAGTAGAATTTATTGATTTATAATTTTGGCAGATAATACAATTGCGAGTATCTCGTAATTGGATGATCCAAAATCAATGAATGTTAGCTCATTGGATCCGCCTAATTTCGAGGAATCGAATGGTAGTTGTTTCATATGAATCGGTGCGATATTGACCGAGATCGTACATATTTTGTTTTTTGTTTTTTCTAAATATAAAAAATCATGGGATATAATGTCATTTCGACTATTTCACGACTTTAACCTCCAATGGTCGAAATGATTTTGACCATTTCGACCATTTTGGATATCTGAAATGATCAATTTCAACTTTATGTATAGTACCAATTGACATTCGAGTGTGTCTCAAAAAACGTTACCCTATTCTGAAGTCAAAAAGAAAGAATCGCTTAAATTCTTCTTAAAAAAGTATATCCTCGATACTAAAGCTGACATGTTATATGATGAAATGTGAAGAATCTATTCAGAGGCAAAAAAAGACCCTTCTCCTTTAACTGCAAGAAAAATGCGAAAAGTAGCTAATTATTATATTATAGATGCATTATGTTGCCAGAAGCTTTTGGTAAAGCTAAGACAAATAAATGATTACAGAGAAGTCGCTTCCATAGCTCATGTATCTTTGTTTGACTCACACTATCATGCAAATGGAATGAAGGTACGAAACCTTCTGAGTGCTTATGCTTTTAAATGTGATATGGTATTTAGCTCAAGAGTATGTAAAAATATAAAAAAAGAAAAATATCCTGACGCGTACGTTTTTTCACTTGAAAAGGGAATTGAAACGAGAAGACCTGTAACGGGATTGGACTTTGCCTCATTATATCCTAGTCTCATCATGACTTACAATCTCTCTCCAGATAAAATAATACTAATACATGAAGAGGTTGATATTGCAGAAAAAAATGGAAACATTTTACATAAGATTGAGTTTCCATTCAATAACCGCACTGTTCAAGCTTGAAGTGTAAGATATGATAATCAATTCGAAAAGAAAGGCTTATTTTCTGTTGTATTAGAGGATTTATTCAATATGAGAGTAGAGCTTAAAGCACATTTTGCCCCATTAGGAAAGAAAAAGCTACAATTTAGAAAGATAATTAGTTCTGCTAAAAAAAGAGGCAAAAGGATTCTAGAAAGCTTAAATTTAGAATATTCATCCATATGTTTCGATTACAATTATTCAGATTTGAAGCAAAGAGCTTTGAAGATATATATGAATACTTTTTATGGGGAGACAGGCAACTCAAAATCTTCAATCTTTCTTCGTGAATTAGCTTGAGGAACTACTTCAGCAGAAAAATATAACCTTAATCTTGTCGCAAAATTCGTAACAAAGAAAGGGTTTGGGATAAATATGGTGATACTAATTCTTTATATCTCAGTTGTCCAGATAAGTATTATGAAAAATGTGATGAAGCCTTCTCTAGAAAAGATCTTTCTAAAGAAGCATACTGGATCGAAATAGTCAAAATTACTATAAATGTGATGAAAAGCTTGCGTGATCAAGTAAATGCTTATCTTGGGAAAAAAATAGCACATCCTATTTTAAGATGGCATATGAAGAGGTATTATTTCCCATCTGCTTTACTGGCAAGAAAATGTTTCGGTGTATTACATGAAGAAGTGGTCAATTTTAGGCCAGATGATCTCTTTATGAGAGAAATTGATACTGTGAAGCAAGGGAATTCTGAGCTCTTCATGTTTATCAGAGAAAAGATTATGTGGGAGGCAATAAGTATCAATAACACACATTCAATTGGTAAAATTATTGAAGAAGCTCTTCAGGATGTTAAATTTAAGCAGTTGGATTTTAATCAGTTTATTGCAATGTCTAAATGAAAGGCTAAAGGAGGCTTCGCATGCAATAAAATCTTTATGAAGCAGATGAGAGAAAGAATAGCAAGCAGAGAAAAAATTATAAAGATCTTTGACTCTGAGGAACACTTTAGCTATGTTGTAGTGAATGATAACTCTCGTTATAAAAAAGATGGTTCAAAATCGACAAGAAAGGGTGATTACATGGAGTTTTCAGAAATTGCAAAAGAGTTTAATATGAAGATAGATATCAGTCACTATTTAGAATAAACAGTAAGAATGTGTGCACATTTATCAATGAGAACAATATATTCCTACCACCCTCATTAGATAAAATAATGCAGATTAAAGATTCAAATATAAGGAAAAAGCAGATCGATAAATATTTCAATAAAAAGGCAAAAAATTGGCTTATAAAATATATTAAGAGCTTTCAATAAACTTTCTAGGTATTTTGAGAATTCGCTCAAAACTACCTAACTATATGGTTAAGTACTCTTAGCAAGATGTGGCAATTTTAGCTAAGAAACTTAGTCGTAAGGTACTTCACATAATATTATTTACATATTTTTTTCTTATGTAATAATACTGGTTAACTTCAATTCCTATCTTCGAACTTCTGACCTCTGATCATACAACCCAGCCTCAGAAATGCCCAGAGATGATAAAAATAGTTTTGGTTAGAAGAATACTCAGTATTACTTTTTTCTATGAAACCTATATCCTTCTCCTGATCACGAGCCATATAATTGCGAGAAGTAATAAGGTAAGTATAATATTTATTAATATTAGTGATATTAAGGAGTTCGTAACAATAGGAATAGCCGAAACTGCTTCTGTGCTACCCACAGAAATTGTCTGGAATGTAGGAGAATTAAGAGTAAAAAGTTGTGATGAATTATTCATAGGCGGGGTGGGGTATCTACTTAATTATGTGAAGCACCTTTCAGCTCTTTCTTCGACAGTAATTCTTGAAGATGAGTGTTTTTCTCAAGTAAATTTGATCACGCTGAAAATAAAGAATTTATCATCTGATTGTATATGCTATTTGATGATTCTATCCCTTTTCCATACATTCTATTTCATGTTTTTTTGAATTAAGGTCTTCATTCGCTCGCTCCAGTTCAAGCCTGAGGGATTCTATTACAGATGAGTCTATTTGGATCAGCTTCTCTATTACCCTCCTATTACATCTAAATCATGATATGTATGCTCTAGATTTATATCATCCAACTTACCTTCCAATTCACGTACTTTAGTTTCAAGAAAAAGAATCTGGATCTTGTCAATGGACGAAGCTTTCTGGATCAAGTTAACTTTCTTTTTAGAGATTTAATATTTGATTTGAGTGATTTGATTTCAGCTTTGAGCTTAGTACAAGTTATTCATTTAGAAGTAAATTTGGATATAAGTTCAGTATTGAGCACATTCATCTGGCTAACCTTATTTCTGATATCAGTATGGATTTGCTTAAACTCCTTTTCTCACCCTGAATACTTTTCTACCAACTTTTCGCCAAATGTAAGTTTAACTGTTTTTTTGTGAGCTCAGCAAGTTCATCGTCAGAATCAACTTCAACCTTTTTCTTTGGCTTTGGTGGTAAAGTGGGATTAGGAACAGGAACAAATTCTGGGATCTTTCCAGTAATCTATGATAAAATCTGCCTATATTCTCATCTCGTAAATTTTTATGTGTTCCTGCAGGTTGTGATTAGAATTGTGATAAAGTCACTTGTTGAGGCTGTTGAGGTTCTGAGAATGCTATTGTATTTTTTACCAAGCTCTCAATTTCATTTCTAGTCATTCCTGATCTGTTAGTATCTACATATGGATTAGCTGCCAGAAAAATTGGAAAAGAAGATGGTACGTTCTTTTGAGATAATGTATATTTTTCTGCTTCAGCTAGAGCTTGTGTAATATTATCCTATATATCATAAAATTTAGCCATCATTCGAAGATTATATTGATTCACCAGAAATAGACCATGAATAAATTGCTCTCTTTGCTATTTAGAAGTCATTTCAGCTACTTTACCGATCTTTTTAATTCTAGTGAAGAATTGCTCAACTGACAAATCACCCTGCATAAGTTGACTAAAAACTGCTATTTGTTTTAAGTGCTCAACAGTTGTATAAGAGGTTCTAAACAGATATAAAAATTGACCAAGCTTAATATCAGGAGCAATAGTAATAGCAGGAAATCCACCTTCAGCATTAGGCGCTACTGGTGCATTATCTACAGGTTCACCACCAGCTATAGACCAATCTTTATTCTATGTTCCATTCAGAATAATATTAGCACCTGTTGCAACTCCTGCTCTAATTCTACCAATTTCGGTGGCCGCCTTATCTTGGAATTCTCCAGCAGTATTCAAACCACTAATTTGATTACCACTATTTCCAGCACCTATTGCTCAAACAGCAGTTAAAGTAAGTATTCCAAAATTGTCTGAGAGATTATTGCATCTCCAATTTTTATCTTTGATATGAGTTAAATAAAAATTCAATGCATTACCTGCAAGGTATGATACTACTAGCCCAAATGCCTCTTCTTTTTGGGGGGCCTGACCTGCATCAGGTGCAACATTTATTCAACTAGCTATTATATATCTTTGCATATCCGTAAGCTAATCATCTGGATCCTCTTCAGAACGACCATAAAATATTGGGGATCTGTATCCTACCATTCCTGATATATTTAGTGGATTATTCTGTAATGCTAAAATTTCTCCCTGTAAATTAAATATTATTTGACATTCTTCATGTGTCTTATTTTTCCACTTGTCATATATATCAAAAAGCTGATCTCAATTATATTCTAGTACCTCCCTGTCACCTTGACATTCATGCAGTTGAACTTTAAGTTGTCAATTATCTCTTCTTATATTAACCCATAAATCTTGTGCTGTCCTAGCCTTACAGATCTGAAATCGAGAAATAAAAATAAGGTAAGTATTTTCTCTAAGTAATCTGGCTTTCTCTTCTCTTAGCCGGTCATTAATAGCTCTTATATCTTCATCATAGGATGGGAAATTTGGCATAGAATCTTCCTTCCTATCTGAAATATCCCTAAATCACCTAAAATCTCATATTCAAATTCTAAATGTAAATTTGACATTTTAGAAGGAGAAGAAGAACTTTTGCTATATATAACTTGTGTCAATTCTTGAACCCTTTTTTCTGCAGTATTAGCAAGGCCTATAGCCTTTAAAGCTTTCTCATGCTCTTTCTCTAATAATTGGTAAATCTTTTGGGGAGATATGTTTTTTTCTAGCTTTACTGGAGACAGTATTAAAGATGGAATACTAGCCAATAAATCATCATCAAGTTACTCACTCAAATTGTGATGATGCCAAATAGATCAATCGAATTCTTCTTGTAATATTCCAATAGAAATTCTCTCATTAGAGGAGCCTCCAGAAAGTGAACAAGGCTTTTCTGTTATTCTAGCAAGATCCTCTTATAATATCCCATTTAGGATTTCTGCATCTTCCAAAGCATTCTGGGTATCTTGTAATTCTCTATCACGCTTAGCTATTATTCTTTTAGCTTGTAAAAGATTGTTTTCAAGATTTTTTAACCAATCCCAAACTCTACATAAATATATTTCATTATTAGCAGTACGCCTTACTCATTTCAAACAGTTTGCCCAGATAGTAGCATAATAATTAATTTTTTCGCATTTATCTATTTCATATATATGGTCTTGTATTCCTGAAGCACCTGATGAACCAGAAGCTATATTGTTCAATAAAGGTAGATTATGATCTGATTGTCTTGAGGATGATGACAACGATGAGGACGATGAAGAATCTCTTGTTAATAATAATAAAGGGGTCCTCCTAAGATCAGGTATATTACTCGATAAAACCATAATAAGATCACTAATCCTATTTTTTAGCTGAAATATCTTTTCATGAAGCTTAGATAATTCTTCCGATATCTGATCTTCTCGAAAAGTTATAAATAGCAATCTACACTCTGCAATCTTTTCTAGATTATGGATTTTTATCTCTAATGCTATTATCTGGTTTTTAAAATCAGACATCTCACGCTCTGAGATCTCTTTTGTTTTATATAATTGAGATATCTCTAGCTCACTATGATATAAATCACGTTTTAGGGATTATATCTAACTCTCATATACTTTATTTTCAGACATCAGCGCTGTTCTATCTTCTTCTTTTTATAAATAGTTCTATCTTTTTAATAGATGAGAAAAGGATGAATAAAGAAACAAGGGTTCCTATAATCTAAATAGATTCTGATGAGGCCTAGAAAATTAAAAAAATATTAGCCATAAGGCATGGAGCATATTACGTGATATATATTATCATCCAACTGGATATTATTCTAATCCTAAATCCTTAAGAGATGTATGTAAAAATGAAGAGCATTGTTTCTGCTTAAAAGAATATCATGATTTTTAGAATGGCAACATATATACTAAATACATAAAACTCTCTGAAGAATATTCTTAGATGTAGCTATTACTGAATAACATGCCTAAATTGCATACACCAATGTGATTTGTTATTTCTTACACATGATCATTATAAGTGTAAAAAATATATAGCAGTACTTAATATAATAGACTGCACTTCCCGATATAAGGCTTCTGTTCCACTCACATTGAAGAAGAGTTCAGAAGTTACTAGAGCATTCAGAAAAATATATGATGATCCTAATAATCCACTTGTATGACCAGAGCTTCT